GAGGATTATTGTAGCAAACCAACTTCCTGTGAAAGCAAAGAGGAGAGAGGATAATAAAGGCTGGAGTTTCAGTTGGAATGAGGATGCTTTGCTATTGCACCTTAAGGATGGGCTACCAGAAGACATGGAGGTTCTTTATGTAGGGTCATTGAAGGTCTCTGTTGATCCTAGAGAGCAGGATGATGTGTCCCAGGTCTTATTGGATAAATTTAGATGTGTTCCTACTTTTCTACCTCCTGATATTCTGTCAAAATTCTATGACGGTTTCTGCAAGAGGCATTTGTGGCCACTGTTTCATTACATGTTGCCATTTTCAGCTGATCAAGGAGGCCGATTTGATCGATCTTTGTGGGAAGCTTATATTTCAGCTAATAAGTTGTTTTTTCAAAAGGTAGTTGAGCTTATAAACCCGGAGGAAGATTATGTCTGGATTCATGATTACCATTTGATGGTGCTGCCAACCTTTTTAAGGAGGCGTTTTAATCGGATTAGGATGGGATTTTTCCTTCACAGCCCATTTCCCTCATCTGAGATCTATAGAACTCTTCCTGTAAGAGAAGAAATACTTAAGGCTTTACTCAACTCCGATATTATTGGATTCCATACCTTTGACTATGCTCGTCATTTCCTCACTTGTTGCAGTCGGATGTTGGGCTTGGCATATCAGTCAAAGAGAGGTTACTTAGGATTGGAATTTTATGGAAGGACCATTAGGATCAAGATTATGCCAGTTGGGGTTCATATGGGTTGGATAGAGTCGGTGATGAAAGGGGCGGATGAGGAGAGTAAAATGAGGGAGCTTAAACAAAAATTTCAAGGGAAAACAATGTTGCTTGGTGTAGATGATACTGACATTTTTAAAGGTATTAATTTGAAACTTCTAGCAATGGAACAAATGCTGAAGCAGCATCCCAGGTGGCAGGGAAAGGCTGTGCTGGTCCAGATTCTAAACCCTGCTAGAGGTAAGGGGATAGATTTAGAGGAAATACTTGCAGAAATACAAGAAAGCTGCCGGAGGATCAATGAGCAATTTGGGAGACCAGGCTATGAGCCAATAATCCTTATTGACAGGGCAGTTTCCATTAATGAGAGGATTTGCTATTACAACATTGCTGAGTGTGTTGTTGTGACAGCTGTTAGAGATGGGATGAACCTTACTCCGTATGAATATGTTGTCTGTAGACAGGGAATAACTGGTTCTAAATCTTGTCTAAATTTCGATGGCCCAAAGAAGAGCATGTTAGTGGTGTCAGAATTTATTGGATGTTCTCCATCACTTAGTGGGGCAATCCGTATCAACCCATGGAATGTTGAAACAACTGGGGAGGCAATGAATGTCGCCATTTCAATGCTTGATTCAGAGAAAGAATTAAGACACGAGAAGCATTATCGGTATGTAAGTACACATGATGTTTCTTATTGGTCCCGCAGTTTCTTGCAAGACATGCAGAGAGCTTGTGCAGACCATTTTAAGAGAAGATGCTGGGGAATTGGTTTTGGCTTCGGATTCAGAGTTGTGGCCCTTGATCCTAATTTCAGAAAGCTGTCACTTGATGCTATTGTATCGGCTTATAGGAGGGCACAAACTAGGGCCATTCTGTTGGACTACGATGGTACTGTAATGCCCCAGAACTCAATTGACAAGTACCCTAGTCAGAAGGTAATCTCAATTATGAACACACTTTGTATGGACCCAAAAAATACAGTTTTCATTGTCACTGGAAGAGGGAGGGAGAGCTTAAGCAAGTGGTTTTCTCCCTGTCAGAGGCTTGGAATTGCAGCAGAACATGGGTACTTCTTGAGGTGTGCTTCTCTCTCTCTCTCTCTCTCTCTCTCTCAGCTCACTTGTATTTCAAATGTCAGAATTTATGGTACAATTTTCTTGAAAGCATAGCTTGTGCTTTTGCCAAGGATGGGAAAATATGAAAGAAAAGATGTGGGAGCTATAGTAAACTTATTGTTTGCAGTTTATTGATCTTAATTTATTTTCAATAAGTGTTGAATAAGTTGTGCTAGGAGAGTGCTTAAAAAAGAACTTTTACTTTCACGAAATTTTAACACCAATTTATGAAACTTCTCAGATGGTCGCAAAATCAGGAGTGGGAAATCTGTCGTCAGGGTTTTGAGTTTGGCTGGATGAAAATTGTTGAACCAGTGATGCAATTGTATACTGAGTCTACTGATGGTTCTTCTATTGAAACTAAGGAAAGTGCTTTGGTTTGGCAATATCGTGATGCAGACCCAGGTTTTGGGTCCTCCCAGGCAAAGGAGATGTTAGACCATCTAGAGAGTGTCTTAGCAAATGAACCTGTTGCTGTCAAGAGGGGTCAGTTCATTGTAGAAGTAAAGCCTCAGGTATATATCCATGAATCTCAACTTCTGCAATTCCAATAAACTTCTTCTACGCTTCCCCTCATTTTTCTTTTCTTTTGTGGTAATTCAGAGATATCTCTGTTCTTTTTGACACGATACATTTTCCCCCTATATGGTCCTTGTTACTTCCTCGTTTTTCTTTCTTGTTTCAATTCAAATATACATTTAGGACATGTATTTGTTTGTTACTCTGACTTTTAACTGCCAGATAAGGGTCTCATTATTGATAGAAAACTTTGCTTTGATCTACTACCCTGCCGTCATTTCCATTGCTGGCACGGACCATCATTAGTGTGTCTCATAAATTTTTCTTTGTAGACTTTGTTTTATTTCATGTATAAAGTTGAACAGTTATATCAATCTAGAGTCCAGAGAAAGATTTTTTTTTTTTCACTTCTATTTGTTTGTTGATGGTTCTAGGAAGTTAGTAAAGGGCACGTAGCAGAGAAGATTTTCTCATCAATGGCTGAGAATGGAAAACATGCAGACTTTGTGCTCTGTATTGGTGATGACAGATCTGATGAGGACATGTTTGAGATATTTGATAATGCTATGCTGAGAAGTATTCTCTCTCCCAATCCTTCAGTTTTCGCTTGCACGGTTGGACAAAAGCCTAGCAAGGCTACTTATTATTTGGACGATACAACGGAAGTGATAAACATGCTTGAATGTCTTCCTGAAGCCTTTGATTCTTTGCCACCCGTTGAAGAAGGATATGAAAGCTCTCCATGAAAAACTGAGTCAAATTTTGTTGTTTTTTCAATAACAGAGTTAGTATTTTTGAGACAGAAGTACAGATTAGGCAGGAGGCATCTTTACCATATTTAGGGTATGGATAGTGTATAAAGTTGGTAGTTTTTCCTATATTGCTTCCCCTTGTTTGTTTGTATATAGTTTTCTCAGCAGACGGATAACAGCAAATGATTGTTTGATCATTAAGTTGGAATGAAAATGGAAGCAAGAGGTAGCAATCTTGGGAGATTCTACTATTCAGAGTCTCATCATGGTAATCATCTTCATAAAACTATCACATTAAGCTTTGCAATCTTGAAGAAGAATCCAATCTTTTACTTTTTTATTTGTGCACTCTGGCAACTGGAAAGTTCAGAGTTTTGAAAGTGTTATACTATAGAGTATGCTTAGACTTGTCAGGAACTTAGGACATGCATCAAATTTTTGAAAGTGTTATACTATAGCATAACATCCCCAATTTAATAACTATATCATAAAATGACTTAGATTTGGAGGGTATAACACAACAAACAGACCAAAATTAGTTATTCTAAACTAAAACGTTTTAGTAAATATAAGTATGGTCACAACAACTCCGTAAACAAATAATATCCTTCGACCAAAAAAGAAAAAGAAAAAGTAAACAAATAATATCCCTGTTCTCAAACAATAGAATAAAGCAGCAAATAAACTTTTTTGAGAGAACATAAGTCTGTTTCTCTAGAACTAGCCTCTCCGCACGCGCTTCCGCGCCTGCGAGAGGCTTTTTTTTAGAAAATTTTAAATTTATTTTAGAATTAAAAAAGATAATGCGTAGTTGTGTTTCATAAAAATAGGATCCATTATCTGATTTTTCTTTTAATTTTAAATTTTTTAATATGAAAAAGTGTGAATTTACCATATTATCCTCATTTAATTAATAATTTCAATTCTTAATGTTTGCATTAACCAAGGGCATTTTTTGGTATTTTGAATGTTTCACCATTCTCTGCCTTTTGCTTTATATATATAGATAGATTAAACCATTTATATATTCTAGAGAATTAAAAGTTACGAACAAATATATAAATAAAAACAACAAATTCAAAAAATTTTGATCTTCTAATTCTATTATTGGTAACAGAATTCTGTTATGGTATCAGAGCCAGGTTATCAATATGAGCAACACATAAGTGGTGGCAACATGCAAATAACATGACTCTGATACCACAATAGAATTGAAGGAAGCCACAATTAGTTGACCATAGGCAAAAAAGTTATATCTTTTAAACTCTTATGCAAAACATCAATTTTTCCAATGTGGGACAAAAACATCACAACTACAAATCCTCAAGAGGCCAGCACAGGTATAAGACGGTGGATGATATGCAAATAAAAACAATCATCAAAATCCACCAGAACCTACTATCAAAACGTCTACTTAATTTGGTTAAAAGTTTGAGGGTTCGATCTTTTGGCCTTAGCTAATGGTTTGATCAGAGGTTCTAGTCATTTTTTCAAGAAGAATTTCATGAGCTATAGCTGCCATGTTTAGAACAACACCTTGTTGTTGCACAAAGTGTATTTTCAGATTGCAGTCAAATTCCAATTGCCGGGCAGGCTCATCAACCTTCTAAATTCAACTCAAGCTTAGTCCACATAATAACCGAAATGAAAAAAAAAAAATTTCCCCTTAACTTCTTGCTCGTCAAGATTATTGCCTTCCTCTTCCTCCAATTGGTTTTTCTCAACCCCACAAAGTATATAATATATAATTTCAAAAGTAATATTAAAATAAAATAAAATAAATAAATAAAGGTTTCATATCCCACATCGGCTGCAGAGGAGAAGTGCGTTCGGGAAGTGGTGTATAAAACGGGAAACCAAGCAAGAGAAAAAGCATACCTTTCTCGGCCTTTTGGCTAAGATCAAGTGTAGTATCTGTTCTTATCAGTTTAATATCTGATACGTGGGTCAATGACTCACACGATATTAAATTAATTTCTTTAAGGGGAGGGCTCACTACAGTAGCTTGCTATTGGGGCTCTCGAGCGTCGCCCAAGTGTTGCACTATTGCTTGGGCCTGGCGCACCCTATCAAATCTAGTTCCAACTTTTTATTATTTTTACACTCAAATTTGTGTGCTACACTGCCGGGAGTTTCTATAATGAGGATGCTATTTGAGGAGTTTATTTAAGGAGGCCCATCTCACCATCAAAAGGGGTGTGGACCCCCCAATGCACCCCCCCATGTGCTTTGTTTTTTGTTGTTGATGGTGAGATTTCACCTCCTCACTCAACCTCCTCATTCTAGCCTTTCCGCTAGCCTAAGAAATTAGAAGGCCAAGTTCTCCAAGGGAGAACGAAGAGCATGAAAGGGACCATCTGTTCTTGATGGAGAGCGATGGGTCTGGAGGAGGAAACGAGTTGGAGAAGAAGGAAGAAGAACAGGAGGTTGATGGTCAGTCTGGCAAGGAGAAAGTTTCTATGGTTACCACACAACATTATATGTTTTACGTAGAAAAGCGACTTGCATTGCTTTCAAGAGGATTCGACATTGCACCTCTAAGCAGAAAGAGGACTTGAATTGCGTTCAAGAGGATTCGACATTGCAATTAGAAAGGGGATGCAAATTTGAGTGCAACTATGGTCAGAACTTCATTGGACAATAAAGTATTTAACATGTTAAAGATAATGACGTATTTACAAAATACCGTCTCAATTCATCCTAACCGGCCTACATTATGAAAACATTTGTCAACTGATTACATTACTTTGTGACCCTTTTACAGTAAAAACTATAACCAACTTTAAAAGAGTTCACAATATTTTTCCTAGTTTAGTTCAACTGATACTATATATATTCTCTCTCATCCTTTGCAAGAGAGAACAGCAATAAGCTTCATTGATTCGTGAAACTATACTTTTCCAACTGCTTCCTCTATATATCACATGACAAACAGAAAATTAAAACTCACAACTGTTAAAAAAAGAAGAAAAGCACATGTTTGTTTTCCTGGCCAACGACATAAATGATTCAAAATCAAATAAATAACTAAGGCTGCAAGGCAAGCTATCTAAAAGCCTTAAGGACATCGAGTCAGTGGCACAAAGTTGCATCTGCGATGTCTGGTATGGATCCATTACAGAAGCAGAAACATAACGAACAATAGCATTCACCCTTCATCTTCTTCCTCAACTCATCCTCCAGTCGAGTTCAGATAAGTCACAATGTTAGTAATAGTACATTCTTAGGGAGTTGAAGGTAGCATGGTCATCCGTCTATCCACAACACCCAAATTTCAACATATTTCATCAGAGATATGTAGAAAGCAAAATAGTCTGAACAAAGAATATTCTGCTTTAACATCCAGAGAAAAGTAACCAAAAAATAACTTAGACAGAAGCCAATAAGAAGTACATATTGAAGCTGAAAATACGGGAGCAGAATAGAGCTAAAGCATATTTCCAAACCCATTTGCTTAGGTATTCAAATATACGTAGCTGATTTATGTGCTCAACGAATAGAAGAAAACTATACATATCTGAACAAAGAAACAACTATTAGGCATATCACCTTGATTAATAAATGAAGATCATAGAAAATTTAGAAACTAACAATGATAGCTAAAGAACCAATTTGTTATATCTTACTTAGAGTTAGGGTATTCATAACTTTCATTCAAGTCTTTAAGCTCTCCGAATAAGTTCGTACTTTCAAATATCTTGCCCTCCTTACAGAAACTTTGGATTACAGTGTTGTATGTTATCAAATCACAAACAAAACCGTTCTGGTGCATTTCTTGGACCAATTTATATGCCACGTCGGTTCTTCCATGTAAACACAGCCCTGTCAGTCATCATTGCGTTGTAACTGATTGGTTTCTTTATGACCTTTATGTATTGTATGTATACTCATTTGGATGATATCCCTTCTCAATCATCTCAAACCACAGCTTCGTAGCTTCCCCAATCCAACTCATTGTAAAACCTCTATCCTTAAGATCATTAAAAACCCGTAAACCCTCGAACCCCTTTCCTTTCTTATACAGCCAATTGATTATACCTCATGATACATATAATTATCTGGGACACGGTTCTTTGCAATCAGGGTGTGGAGGAGTTTGGATACTCTAGTATACTGCTTCTCTTTACAAAACCCAGAAATCAATTTATTGAATGCAGCATTTTCAGGGACCAATCCATCTATCAAAGCCTGTCGAAGAAGTTCGTAACCTTCCAAAACCCCGTTATCAGCACAAAAAGCTTGAATGAGATACCCAAGAGTCTCAACTCAACATCAGCTACAACACCACATTCTATCATTTCTTGATACAATTTCCAAATAATCAGTCCTCCCAACCTTAAGGCAACCCAACAAAGCCGCCTTCCAAGTCATTATAGCCAGGCACACTCCAGCCTCTTTCAACCTATAAAACACATCAATCGCATCCTGAATATATCTACCCTCACAAAGACACCGAATATAACTTTCTAATGAGGCAAGCTCAGGGCTAAAACTGGTATGTTCAAGAAAAGATTTTGCAGGATTGCAGACCTTAGCCTCCATGAAGGCACTGACAAGCGTTTTACACGAAATGGGGTCCGGTGAAAACCCATTATGAGAGCTCAACCAGAAGAAACATCCCAGCGATAAAAACACATTCTTTTAGAGCTTCAGAAGCTCAGTGAAAAACTGGGGATCAGAGAAATTGAAGGGGGGTACTCAGAGGGCAGAGTCTGCTCCCATGGGTTTTGTTCAAATGATCTCACAAATGAGTTGGGCAACTTCAGTAAAGTCACATTCTTTGGTTTCTGTTGTATGGTATCATTTTTTTTTCAGAGGTATTCAAATATACATAGCTGCCTTATGTGCCCAAGGAAAAGAAGAAAACTATACAGATCTGACCAAAGAAACATCTATTAGGCTTACCAACTTGATTAATAAACGAAGATCATGGAAAGTTTAGAAACCAACGACGACAGCTAAAGAATTTAGAGAGAGCAAGAAAGCGTTTGACAATGGCTGGTGAGAGGGGAGTGGAGTGGATTCCAGGTTGATAACCGCATCAGGAATAAACTGCATTCGGCTTACCATCTATTCAACTTAAATTGGTTAAAAAAGAATTAAAAAAACCTTTAATCCCTATAAGCATAGTTAATATTAACTCAACAAACCTGCAACATTGCATATCAAAGACAGACCATACCATCATGTACTAAATAATCCAACACCAAAAGCCTCACTTTCAAACAGATATTTGCAATCAGAATCCAATACATAGATACATAATTGCATACATACATACATATATATTAATAAAACTATGCATTTAAATAAAAAATTTCAGTGCATACCGCATGCTTCCACAGTATTTAAGAGTATTGGGACCACTGTGAAACCTCTTCATAAAATGGCTATGCCCTGTGCCATTGTTTCTATCTCTGATCCCAAAACAAAGCCCTAACGTCCGTGCCCTCCCTCGCCAGAGTTATGAAGAAAGACACGGATGGGGCATTGGCCTCGACGCTCTTGCCATCTGGGTAGAAATATGTAGCCCGTGTATAGCCACCGGCCACAAATGAATAGGACCCAATGTACTTGACGATTCCCATACCCTTGACGAGTGAGTACCCACTGATCTTAAACTCGTGGCACCCATTTGTGATATCTTACTCAGACTTAGGGTTTTTGTAACTTTCATAGGATTGGACCTTTACTCATAACACAATAAATAATCATACAAAGCACGCTGAAAAATGATCACTAGCTGTAAAATAATTGAAAGGAAGCGAAAAATCATTTATGCATTTCTAATTATTAGTAACTTACAGAAGTTTCCTGTAAAAAAGAAGTAACTTACACAAGTTACAAGGAACATCTCAAAAACAGTTGAAACATCACTTTCCTTCTAAGATCTCCCACAGACATTTTTCAACAAAATGGTTATCCTCCCAGCAAAGCTTATTGACCAGGGAATGACATATGCCTTTTTCCAGGGCATAACCTGTCCTAAACATAAATTCTAAAACAAGTAAAGAATCATCCAACCTATCTCTTTGTGTGAGGCATTCAACCAGTCTTCCCAATGTTTCCTGCTTTGGTTTAAGTTTACTATTTAACATTTCTATGAACCATTCCATTCCCTCTGCAGCATCTCCTTGATCACACAACCCAATGATGATATAATCATGAGTACCGACAATTGGTTCCAAACCTATATTCTTCATATCATTCCACAAACCTTTTGCTTCTTGTACAGCTCCAACCTGACAAAGCTTTTCAATAAGTGGGGTGTATGAGTAAGCTGATGGCTGTAAACCTTGAGCCAGGAGCTCTCGGAATAAGTTCATACTTTCTACTATCTTGCCCTCCTTACAGAAACCTTGGATTACAGTGTTGTATGTTATCAAATCACGAACAATACCCTTCTGGTGCATTTCTTGGAACAATCTATATGCCTCGTCGGTTCTTCCATGTAAACACAGCCCTGTCATCATTGCGTTGTAACTGACTGTGGTTTCTTTATGACCTTTATTACACATCTCCTTGTACAAGGTCTTGGCCTCTTCAAAATTATCAATCTTACAAAACCCATGAATCATTGTATTGTATGTGTACTCATTTGGACGATATCCCTTCTCAATCATCTCAAACCACAGCTTCCTAGCTTCCCCAAGCCAACCCATTGTACAAAGACCATGAATCATAGTTGTATACATGGCAATATCTGGAGCATAGCCTCTATCCTTGAGATCATTAAAAACACGTAAACCCTCAAGCCCCTTTCCTTTCTTACACAGCCAATTGATTACCTCCTGATACGTATAATTATCTGGGACACGGTTCTTTGCAATCATGGTATGGAGGAGTTCAGATACTCTAGTATATTGCTTCTCCTTACAAAACCCAGATATCAATGTATTGAAAGCAGCATTTTCAGGGACTAGTCCGTTTACCAAAACCTGTCTAAGAAGTTCATAACCTTCTGAAACCCTATTATCAGCACAAAAAGCTTGAATGAGATACCCAACAGTCTCAACGTCAACATCTGCTACAACACCACATTCTATCATTTCTTGATACAATTTCCAAATAATATCAGTCCTCCTAACCTTAAGGCAACCCGACAAAGCCGCATTCCAAGTCATTATAGCCGGGCACACTCCAGCCTCTTTCAACCTATAAAACACATCAATCGCATCCTGAATATATCCACCCTCACAAAGACACTGAATATAACTTTCTAATGAGGCAGGCTCAGGGCTAAAACTGGTATGTTCAAGAAAAGATTTTGCAGCATTGCATGCCTTAGCCTCTACGAGGGCACTGAAAAGCGCTTTACACGAAATGGGGTCGGGTGAAAACCCATTATGAGACCTCAACCAGAAGAAAAATCGAACCGATAAAAGCACGTTCTTTTGGAGCTTCAAAAGCTCGGTGAAAAACTGGGGATCAGAGAAATTGAAAGAAGGGTACTCAGAGGGTAGAATCTGCTCCCATCTGGGTTTTGTTCTAATAATCTTACAAATATGTTGGGCAACTTCTGTAAAGTCACATTCTTTGGTTTCTGTTGTATGGTATCTGATTTGGGTATTTGGGTTTTGGCGGGCACGAGGGTTTTGGCGGAGGAAGATTAAGATTGAAGATGGAGCTCTGGCCATGAACCTTTTGCTCTTTCTAGCTATGAATTGAATATTCTGTGTCGATGTTGAAAATGATGCTCAAAATCACTGAACAAATGTTGGGAAAAAAAAGGTTCAAATAGGAACTTTTACATACAATTAGATGGGCTTTGCTTTGAAGCAGAGCTGTGCAGACTGTAGAGGGAATCCATGGCGTCAATAAGCGAACCAACCAGTCGGAGCAGGGTATTTCGGAATCTATCGTCTCTGTCTACTACCCAGTTTACTTAAGTTTCATACTTAGTCAAATTTTGAGAGAAATCGTTAATGTAATTAAAATCGTGTTTGATGCACTCTAGGTTGGCACAACTAAATATATGTACATCCCAACTAGATTGGCACCTACACACTTATGGCACAACTAAATATATGTACATCCCAACTAGATTGGCACCTACACACTTATCAATCACTCTTGCACTTTACAACCTCAATGTACAAAATGATGTTAGCATTATGTTAGCCTTACATAACTCTTAACACAATCATACTTGAAAACTAGTTTTCTCTCAAAATTTCACCAAGTATGAAAAATGAACTTTCGAAATACTAATGTTTTCAATGATATTTTTTAAGAAATCAGATAAAAAGTGAGAACCAACCAACTGAGCTCAATAACAAAACGAAAATGTCAGAGGCCCAAATAAAATGCAAAGAACCAACAAGAAGTTAAAAGCCCAAAAGGCATTAAGCCCACACAAGCCCAAACCAAGGCCAAGAAAGCTAACAAACCCTAACCAAAATTCAACCAAGCCGGCGCTTGAGACGACACCACCGGGACAAGTTGAGGAGGGTTTATATTCCTCACATCTTAAATAATTAAACACAATTTTATGATATTTTAGTATACAGTATACATTGACTTATTGAGGTATCAATATTGGTATAACTATATCTTATACTAAAATTGAATTTTCATATTTTGATTTGTTGGGAATTTGATTTTCTAGTATTTTTAATTGAATCCAAATGGGGAGTACTTCCTTATTAAAGAAATCAGATAAAAAGTGAGAACCAACCAACTGAGCTCAACAACAAAACGAAAATGCTAGAGACCCAAATAAAATGCAAAGAACCAACAAGAAGTTAAAAGCCCAAAATGCATTAAGCCCACACAAGCCCAAACTAAGGCCAAGAAAGCTAACAAACCCTAACCAAAATTCAACCAACATTGTAAACTTAAGTAAATGAAGTAATATAAAAATAAATTAAAGTAAAAAAGACAAGGCTTTTACTTAAATGTTTGGGATGGAAATAAGGCAATGGATGGCCCTACTTGGGCCGAACTAATCTGGCCATGGGTGGGCCTACTCGGGCTAGACAGTGGGCTGCAAAGGTTTCAAATCTTAAATCCAAACCCGAGCCAATCTTAGAACGGGCTAGACCAAGCAAGCCTAACCATCAGGCCGGGCTTTAGCCCATCGGGCCTCAAGCTACCCTTTTTCAGCTCGTGGGCCAAATGATGATCCCTATAGCACTTCCACCCATTGCTTGTGCTATGGCAAAAGGGGACCTAGGTTGAAAAAACCCCCACACCAACAAAACCAGCCCTGGCAACTTGTGGGCTCCATCAAAATCAAGTAAGACCAACTTGAGCTGCTGCTGAAGGCGCTGATGTTAGCAAATAAATTAATTTTTTCAACATTGGCGCGCACACGCATCTCACCTAGTGAAGAAATCTCCAACAGTCATATGTGCCATGTGGTGGCTCCTGGGGCATCCGATTCAATTTTTTTCTCCATCCAATGACTACCAATTTTTGTGTAATTAAAATTGAAAAGAAAATTGGAAAGATGTCGGAAATAAAATACATTGTTTACCCGTTGAAAAGTTGAGGTAGTAATGGGTTTACTTAAGTTTCATACTTAGTCAAATTTTGAGAGAAATCGTTAATATAATTAAAATTGTGTTTGATGCACTCTAGGTTGGCACAACTAAATATATGTACATCCCAACTAGATTGGCACCTACACACTTATCAATCGCTCTTGCACTTTACAACCTCAATGTACAAAATGATGTTAGCATTATGTTAGCCTTACATAACTCTTAACACAAAATTGTTAAGGCAGACACTATTCACATCAACAGTACCCGCCCTTGCTTACCCTTACCCTTTGCCATGACAAATGGGTGGAACTGCTCTAAGAGGTAAGTTATACTTAGAAGGGCATAGACAAACTTTTGAGGCAAATTTTACTTCTCCTTTTTTTGTTTTTGTTGAAAGAGGTAAATTATACTTTGATAACTGAAACAATGTTTAAAAAATTCCCCGCCCGCAAAAAAGAGTTTCATTTGTTGTAAAACAAGTGGATGCTATCTTGACCCATAAAGAAATAATGGTGCATAAGTTGAAAGGCAAAAACCAAAGTGAAGACAATTGTTGATGTTCAAAAATGAAAACTTAAAGGCCCCATTTGGTTCACGGCCGGAAAAGTAATCGGGAGATATCACTTTATTTCCTTTCCCATGTTTGTTTTGAGTAGGAATGGAAAACCAAGTTCGTATAATTTTCCAATTATACCCATATTCCATCAAATAAAAAAAGAATGCATTTAATGATATATTGTAATTCAAATTGTTAATGGGGACAAAATGATAATGAAAAATGTGCATTTAATATTGGCTCATTTTCCCAAACTTTCCCATGAGGAGGGAAAACAAAACTCAAGTTGGGAGGATGGCTTCACTTTCCCCCTACTTTCCCATGTGCGAGACAATCATTTTCCATGCTTGAACTTACCAAACATGGGAAAGCAATTGATTTTCCATCCCCAAGCCTCCTTTTTTATGAACCAAACGGGGCCAAAAGGAGAATGAATTCTTCAAGCGCTGCTTCAGTGTTCCTTTGGCAACTTAGAGCGGATATGCATGACGAGAAGATCAATAAAAACCTTGGCACCAATGTGGTACTGACCGAAGTATCTCTTATGCTTAAGTCAATTAAGTATGAAGTGACAATTTTGCAGAGTAACACCGTGGTTGAAAGATTGATTACCTAGTAGAGATCAATGTAGAGATCTTCATAGATTGGAAGGACTTGGCATCTCATATATATATGTTTATAAATATGTAGATAGGTTGTTTGCATTTGATAAGTTTTATTGAAAGAGTGAGCATCAAAAAGGGGGCAGAGCACGGGTGAAAATCCCCGTGAAATATAGAAACTCAAAGATAAGAAATAAAGAACCTACTCTCGTATTTTGTTATTTCACATCACCACCTTTATGATTTTCTAATTTTGTTTGCCAACAAGGATAAAACTTGGCTCTCATCTCTGGCAACTAGCTTGGACAACCCAAGATCAGAAACTTCTTGGCAGTTTATATCAAAATGTATTATTTTCTGCCTACAATCTTCATGGAGATAAGCCAACACTCGGGCTATATATGTCTAAGTATAATCTTCTTTCGAGTTTCCCAATCTAATTCTATACCATTGGTATGCTCTGATCTCTTGAAAATCCAATTGCCTAAAGACCCAGTAGTCATATATTAATTCATATAGTGTAGGCTCCCAACTCTTCCAAAACCTCGAGTTCCAAGTTTTTCCCTTGAAATCCTCTGTGGCAACTTGCAATTTCATCATGTGATCAAAACCTCATGATTATTGCCATTTCAAGAACTTGCTCAACAAGATTATTGCCTTCCCCTTCCTCCAATTTGGTCCTTCTCAACATCACAAAGTATATAATATATAATTTCAAAAGTAATATGAAAAAAACATTATGACGTTTCATATCCCACATCGGCTGCAGGAGAGAAGTGCGTTGGTGAAGTGGTGTATAAAAGCAGAAACAAAACCAGAAAGAAAGCATACCTTTCTCGGCCTTTTGGCTAAGATCAAGTGTAGTATCTGTTCTTATCAGTTTAATATCTGATACGTGGGTCAATGGCCCACACGATATTAAATTAATTTCTTTAGGGGGAGGGCCCACTACGGTAGCTTGCTACCGGGGCTCTCGAGCGTCGCCCAAGTGTTGCACTATTGCATGGGCCTGGCGCACCCCAACAAATCTAGTTCAAAGTTGACATAAAATGAAATCTGTTGGGAGGGTACTCTTGAGCTCTTTTCTGCAACATTTGAAGCAAAAGGCTTGACCTTGAGCGATCCCCATTTCTCCCTCTTGTGATTATCTCAAGAAGAACAATTCCAAAGCTATAAACATCCCACTTTAACAGTGACTATTAGCAGCGGCAAGGCACCCTGGAGTTCCTAGCACCTGATTGCCATCTCTTACAATTAGCTTCGACAGCCCAAAATCTGGAACTTTGGCATTGAAAGTTTCATCCAAGAGAATATCATGCGGTTTTATATCAGGGTGTATTATTTTCTGCCTTCAATCTTCATGAAGATAAGCCCCTTTGGCTATGTCAAGTATAATCTTCTTTCGAGTTTCCAAATCTAATTCTAGACCATTTGCTGCTCTAATGTCTCGAAAATCCAATTTTCTAAAGACCCCTCAAGTGATATTATATAGTGGATGAAATTTATGCACAAAATCTAATCAACCTTACGAGGTTAAAATGGTGAAGTCTCCCAATCGTATCAACTTCAACTAGGAACGCCCTCATCCCCTGGCCCCTGTTATCCAACCGCTTTACTGCAATCATTGTGCTATCTGCCATAACTCCTTTGATCACAGAACCAAAGCCTCCACTTCCAAGTTCTTCCTTGAAATCCTCTGTTGCAACTTGCAAGTCAACATATGGAAATTTCATGATGGGAATTCCAAGAACTTTGTCAATGGCGTCTTCACCATCCTTCGATTTGGTCTTCCTTACCATTATGCTGTATACAAAAGATTAGAAAAAAGAATGGCACCAGCTATGGCAAGAATTGAGACAGTATCCATAAAATACCCAATTACAAAGAACGTTACAGCCTAACCATACATTATCTATTTTCATCATCCTGAAAACCCCACAGCATACTACTTGGAAACCAAGTTTAAATGAAACGAGTATCATGTTACTGTTAATGTTGACAGAAGTTTCTAATTTATTTGTATAAAATAGAGTTCTCCCCAATTCGGGAATGGTGTGGTTACAGACATAAAAAATGAAAGTAATCTCAAAACATTTCTAAATCAGATGAAGAACACCTACCAGTATGACCTCCCTTACCAGTAATCTCCACAAGAACACTTCCCATTTTTAAAGTGATGAAATCTACTAGCATCACGGACAATAATTTCTCGGTTTTTTATTAGAGAT